CGCAATGGTGCGTTAGGGTGTTGGTTAATGAGTAGCATGCGAGACTTGTTTTCTTGTCGAATGTTTTATTTTGTTTAAGCTTTAACGTTGTTGTTGAAAACATAATTACTCATGGAGTTATCTATGCATGAGTTTGATCAGTAGTACATTTTGAATGGATATATAATCCGTCTCGTCTAAATTCTACAATAGTTAATCATCTCATATCTAAATTTATTAGAATTTCTTGGCTTACCATCAACTTTTATTTACAAGCATCTTCTATAAAAAAAAAACCTTTATTTTTACAAGCATAGAAAATTAAAAGTGTTCAACGATAAAGTGAATTAACAAAGAGATTTTATTGAGGCAATAATAGAAAGAAAAATTGATAATTAACGTGTATAAACAACAAACCTCAAGGCATATTTGAGTTCTAGTTTATCGTAAATATAAATTGACCTGAATTTTGATTTTGTATGTATAATACTATAAGATATAATAGTATCGATCGTGTGTTGAAAAATGGAATGCATGTAATTTGTCCGGTAGTAGTAGGTGGGAGTTCATGGGAGAAGTGGCGCCACGTAACCGAGTCATGTTTGCATTTCAGCTCTCACTTGTCTACACTTCCCTTTAGAGTTTAGACAAATTTTCTGTCTTTTGGATTCCCTGCTTGAACGTGTCCTCAAGCTAAAATCGGGATTACATACGAACTCTTTATTGGTTTTGGATTTTATTTTTGGTTTAACGTCGATTGTATTTAAGATCTTTTGTCGTTATGACATGACATTGTAAACTTGGTTTATTACTATTTGATTTACCATCTAATCTTTAAAGACGCATGTTACATATTATTAACAAAATATGTATATTTTTGTTATACTTTTTAGTTAGAGCGGCCATCAAAACAACAAAGGGGTGTTTAGTTGTTGGAAACTTGGAAGTGAGCATATTCTTCGATCAAAACTTTATTGTAAACAGATCCTCTTTTTTTAAAAAAAAAAAAATGCGTAATATAGTAAGAGAGTAAGTCGGTTGAATTGTTTGCACATATTAATTTGAAGTTTAAATTCTGATGCAATCTGATTTTTTTGTTTAAATTTTTCCTACCTAGAACATATAGTACTTTAATAGTTTGTATTAATGTTATCATTTTATCATCAATTAATTTAAATTCAAACTCGTATATTGTATATTTAATACAGAAAATATAAACTTCAGAATTCAGTTGCTAATTGCACCATAGTATTAAAAATCATGAGTTTACAATTCAAAATCAAATTAACATAGATTGATATAATTTTCATATATTCTACCTTTTTTTTTTTAATTCTATAAAGTGTAAATATTTTATTGTTATAATAAAATATACTACCATATCTGTCACGTGTCCAAATTGATTTCTCAGGAAGTCGGTAGTAATCACTTTCTGCTAATTTTCTTCCTCCGTCTCCGCATTCGCATTGAAAGTTCAACAATGGCGTCTTTGAAACTTCTCACTCTCCTCTGCTTCTTCGTCTTCACAATCCTCTCCTCTGTTTCCGGATCCATCGTCTTCTCGAAGCCTCACGCTGCTGAATCCTTCAATGTCAGCCTCATCCAGGTTCTCTTTTCTCAAATCCTCTCTCTGAGGTTTTTTCATCGTCTCCGATTTGTTTGTAAATTTTATTCCGATGATGTAGAATTTCGGAAGCTGTAGATACACGGTGATCATCACGACGAGCTGTTCGTCACCGAGGTACACGAGAGATCAGATCAGCCTCTCCTTCGGCGATGGCTATGGAAATCAGGTTAGATTCACTCTGTTTCTAACTGGGTTTTGAATCATCCAGAACAATTGATTTGAATTATGTTTTGATCGATTAGGCTTTAGGGTTGTTCCAATTTGAATCGCCTGATCAAATCCCTGAGAAAGCTATAATCTCACAATTGGTTGATTAGTAGATTTTTGGTGAGTTTGAACAATATTTAGCTTCGTTAACCATATATAGTTTACAGATTTTCTCTCTACTTATAACATTATTGATGCAATATAAGCTTTATGCTTAATGCATCAATATAATTGAATCCTTGAGAAAGCTATAATCTAGCCAAAGTTTTTGACGGATTATGCGAAATATCGAAGGAATCAGATTGTTCTCTAGTATATAAGTATATTGACTGGAAAGTGTCCAAATTGATTTGATGAATAGCTTCATGCTTTAGACTTCCCATTTACAACTTTATCGATCCGGGGGAAGAGATGAAAGTTTGAATGCATCTGGGCTTGTTTTTTGGTTGAATCAGGTATATGCACCGAGGCTTGACGATCCGGGGTCAAGAGCATTTGAGCAATGTTCATCGGATACGTATGAGATAAACGGACCATGTGCGTATCAGATATGCTATGTGTATCTTTACAGGTCTGGTCCAGATGGTTGGGTTCCAGGGAGTGTTAAGATATTCAGTCATGGCTCAAAGGCAGTCACTTTCTCTTACAACACATTTGTCCCTGAAAGCATATGGTATGGTTTTAATTACTGCAACAGTGTCTCGCATTCGAATTCCTTAGCTTTCGGTCTCGGCAAACTCATACTTGTAGTGCTTGCTACATTGCTTTGCTAAGTTGCTATTTTGTTCCCTGTGTGTAGAAAGTATCGAGTAGTACTATCGAACCATTTTGTTTACTGGTGAGTGAAACTTCTGTGTGGATTTTATATGGATGTCTCTTTGTACATTGGACTCTTGGGTTATGTAAATCTTATTTGGTTAGGTTTGCATATGTACACACTGGTTTACTTCATGTGATTCGGTTTGCGGCGATTATGATAAGTTGTTATTCTATAGACCATAGCACATCCTCTATTCAATTTTTCGGGTCGGTACCAAACAATGATCAAACTACAAATTCACCGGAAACAATAAAACCAAATCTTCGGAGCCTTAGATTCATTCGGCTTCCCAATCACAGACCAATTTCAATCCTCTGAAACCCCTCTTTATCCATCACATGAACAATAGAGGCTCATAATAATATACTATTAAGACCCATGAGGTTTAAAAACTACATTTATAATAATATAGCTAAGTAAGCCCAATTGACAAGCCTAATCAAGAGACGCCAAAGCATAATTTCAACTCGCTTCTAAAAAAGCCCAAGTGTCATGGGCCGTGAAGAAACAAAGTAAAATCATGTTAAATAAAATCAACTTCAAATGCAATTTGTGTAAGAAAAAAAGAAAATCCCGAATAAAAACTAAACGACTAGTTTTCTACAACGATCCAAACTAAATAGCAGAAGAATTTACTCCCACAAGATTATATCATAAATCATACAAAAATTAAAATCAGAACAATCCAAATCGCATAAAATCCAATTGGATCGAGATTCAAGAAATTATTTAAATAAATATATAAGAACCCTTTCCTCGACGTAATCTCTGGCCATTACAATTTAGTTTTACGTTGAAGACAAAAACGTTGGAAAAGACAAAACGACCCGAGGTATAAACAATACGAGTTGACATGTAATCTCTTACGTAAGCAGAAAGTTAAATTAAGGAAAAATACAATCTTAACATTGTCATTTAAGAAAACAACAAATATAAGATTGGGCCTTGTGAGAAACATTTATAAATTGAGAAGTACGTAACATGGAGACAAATGAAGAAAGAAAACAATCAAAGAGTATGTCCGAAGAGGAATATGTATCAAGGTATCATGAAAAAAATGTAAATTTCGGGTTTGTTTTGAAGATTAATATAAGATAGTTAACTCTTAGTGGTACTTGTCATTTGTAGGTAGGTCAAAATATATTTTTTCTTTCATTTGAATCAAGACGACAAATATGATATATTTATGTTAATTATGAGATATTATCTACCTAGGCTTTAATCAGGCCTGGTTCTAGGGGAGGACAAGATGTGCACTTGTATTGGGCCCTACACCGGGTCCCACAAATTTGGTTAATTTTTTTTTTTAAAATGCCCTAAATTTCTAAATATTTTGTAAGAAATGTCCTATATTTTCGTAAATTTTGCAAAATAACCTTAAATTTCAGTAAATTTTCAAACAAAAGAAAAAATTGGCACAAGATCCAATGCTTAATTGGACCGGGTCTGGCTTTAATACTCAAACCTTTAGAGGCCACGATAATTTTGTTGGGACTTGGGTGATTAATCAGTATCTAGAATTTAGCTATTTTAGTTTTGAGATGTTGGATCGTCATGTAAATTTGTAAGTTGTATATGTAGTTTTCTGACCTATCTCCGAACTCACCAGATTAAAAAAACATTTCATTGTGACCATATTTTTTTGTATTTGGAACGATTTTGTTGTTGATTTAAGACATGCTTATGTCATTTCAACTAATTAACATTTTTTTACCACAAGGTACCTATACTAATTGAATATATAATATTATTGACGTCGAGATAACTGAAAATGAAGATATATAATTGAATAATAAAAAAAAAACTATTGGCTAAGGAATAAAGCACATGAGCTGACTTATCTCGATTCAAGGCTTTCAAGCAAATCAAATTGAGAATCTAATTAAGAGATGGAAAAAATACTATTTAAACGATCCAGTCATCTGTTTGTCACTGTTATTTATGGCAAACTCAATAATTCATAAACCAATTTTTTAATCTTGTTCAAATCTATTTTGATATTTTGAAGTCTTTTTTTTTTGTTTTTATTCAAATTCACAAAGAATAATTCTTTTTTTTTCAACACATTCTTATAAATTTAACTCATAAGGTTTCTAAGAGCTTGTTTGGCTACACGATTTATTCTACCATTAGCAGATCTAGGATAAAATTAAACTGGATAGAACTAAAGAAAGCAACACAAAGAGAGATATCAGCCAAAATGCCATGAATCGCCGAGATTGGGGAGTCTTGCGTGATTGCTCGAATCAATTGTTGGGAGTCTGACTGAAAGATCACTCTATTGAATCTCAAGACGATAGACTATCGCCTGGAGTATTGTCGTCCTTAGGTCCAACGCTTCTGCTGCGAGCGCAGATGGCACATATAGAGAGTTTGTAGAATGTTATGAAATTTGATTGGGGCTAATTTCGAAGATCCAACCGAGATCTGCTGCTTCCGAATTGCCCATCCATGCCGCATCCGTATGACAACTGATGAAACCTTCCCTGTTGAGGCAAGGATTTTGAGAATTGACTTGCTTTGGAGCTGTCAGAGGAGGAATGGTCGATTGGGCGATGTTCCATTCTCTAGCATCTTGGATTGTTTTGATAATGGTTTCCAAAGTCGAGAAGGTCCTTTTGTTGAAGATGCTTTTGTTTCTGGATATCCACAAGGCCCACCAGATCCATGAGTATAGTTCACCCTTGTTGAGTCTGATGGTTGGCAGAGACATTAACTTCCTTGCCTCCATAAGTCCAGAAGCCACATCTATGATTTGAGAGAAATCAAACATGTTTGAAAATGGAGTATTGAGCCATAGCTCTTGAGCATACGGGCATCAGAAGAACAAATGCAGGACAAATTCAGCTTCATCACATCTTCAGCATTTAGCGGTTGAGGTGATATCCCTCACAATTAGTTGTTCCTTAAAAGGAAAAGCCCCTTGAATCGCTTTCCACATGAACAACTTGATCTTCGGTGGTGCTTTATTCCTCCATACTTGAGCATTCCAGTCAACATTCAAGGTATGAGCTGATCTCGTTTCTTGTTCTTTCGCAGCAACATAATAACCAGACTTTGTTGTATACTCACCAGACGGGTTTCCCAACCAAATTCTCTTATCTTTTGCACCAAGAATGCTAATAGATAGAATGTGCCGTTTATAGCTCGGGAGAATCTCATCAATTTTTCCAATGTCCCAAGATGATGTTTGGTTATTGATTAGTTCACTAACCGTGATGTGTTTGATGATTTCAAGAGCAGGTCCCATAGATTGCAGATTCTCATTTGGAGACAACCAAGGCTCATCCCACAGGCTGATGTCTTTTCCATCTCCTAGAGTCCATCCTATATTCATTATCTCAAAAATCATTATTGCAGTGATTCAAAAAGTTGGAATAACTTAAAAAAAAAAACCCATATCAAACGTGTTATTTTTATTCATACAAAAACCATATTGTTTATATATTCAATGCTGTTTCATTTTTTTTTCAAAGAATTCGCTAAGTGTATTCAACGATGCTTAAATGAAAGTATTTTGTGCATGAAGAGAAATATAATGTTTACTTTCTAGTTTTTTATATAGATTGGATTCGTTTTTTTTTCCTTGCAGTATCTAATCTTCTAATTCGTTCAAGTATTTAATATTGTAGTTTCTCAAAAAAAAAGTATTTAGTATTGTTAAAAAGTAGACAGCTA